TTCAATCAAACATGCTAGCATTAATAATTAACAGCACCAAGGTCTCATAAGATTGCTGGCAGGTGCTAGGGTGCTGGAAAAACACTAATTTCTACCCCTTGCCAGCAAATTTTAATTTTCTTCTTGATTGTGGTAATCTAAGCATTGTAACTGATAGTTAAAGTAGACAATGCATTCAATTACATATATAATAATGTTTAAGGGGCTGATGACTAGAACTACATACAGATTCAAACAATATTTCAAGAGATGATTTGTTCAAAATATTGTTAAAGAACTCTTTACGGGGGCTGGAGAGAAGGCTCAGCAGTTAAGAGTACTTGCTGCTCTTGCAGATGACCTGGGTGCGGTTCCCAGCACCCACACTGGGTGACTTATAACTGCTTGTAGCTCCAGTTCCCCTGGGGAACCACTGCCTTCTTATAGCCACTACGGGCACAAGCATGTATACTTAGAATAATAACATTTAAGAACTCTTTAGCTGGGTGATGGTGGCACACGCCTTTAATCCCAGCATTTGGGAGACAGACAGGTGGATCTCTGTGAGATCAGGGCCTGGTCTACAGAGCGAGTTCCAGAATAGCCAGGACTGTTACACAGAGAAACCCTTCTCAAAAACCAAAACTAAAACTATAGTTTAAAACTAAATAACAACCCTCAACAGAAATGTGTGAGACTTCACTCCCCCATAACAGCGCCATTTTGAAACCTACATTCCCTCAACTTGTACTTGGGGAGAACACTGTGACTATGTCAAAGTGTAGTGAACAGAACAGACACTCAGACTTACGACTCTGGGCTGCAGAACGTCCCACACTTCTGTGGTTCTTCTGAGAACTTCTCTTGGAAATTCAGGTACAAAGATTTGACATGCAGGAGTACTACTGTTGACTGCCTGCAGAATGAGAAACTGCTGGACTTCCAAGCCTCTGTGCTGGAGTATGGACTTGCAGTATGGAGCTGGAGCAGTCTGGCATATGGAGATAGGGTGCTGTTGAAGCAAACCCTAAACCCCACAGCTCTGGGTTGGGAATGGGCATGGGAGAAGCTGGAAGGGCCCTGACCAGGCGATGCCTTAGTGGGACCCTAAGGACCTTTTAGAGTCCAGGAGCGAGAACTGGAAAGAAAGTGAGGAACGTGTTACTGGAGACTGGGGGCGACAGCAAATCTTCATCATGTAGTGGGGCTGATTGGTCTGTAAAGTCGACGGACATCACTCCAAGCAGTCAGCCACCTGGGCCAGTAGATCCGCAGGCAGATTGCTGACTGGCTATGCACAAGAAGAGGAGTGAGGGGGAATGGTCAGACATGAGGGTCAGGACTCGCTGGACACAAACATCACACTTCACTTCATCCATAAGCTCTCCAGATGGTCAGTTAAGTTGAAACGGAGCTACACGGTTGCCACAGCCACACTGGAAACCAAGGGTGTGACTGCAGATCTGGCAAGACCTCCCGCGGTCTAAACCTTTTCAGACATAACAAATCAAAGGAAGAGCCTTCCTATTAAACAGCAGGGCGCCTGGACCTTCGAGTGGCCACATCTCACAGGTATCCTGAAAGTGCCAGGCAGACTCAGAGTGACAGGTGAATGTGGCTTTTTCCTGGTAAAGTAGGGTGGAATTGAACACATAAAATTCCCTATGGTTTTAAAGAGTTTGTAGCCTGGATTAAGAGGAACATAGAGTAACACAGAAAGGGGTCACTGTCTCTCTCCACCCTTGGATTTGGAAATCAGGAAGTTGTCTTGATGTTACTGCGCCCCTGCAAAGGTGGACGGCAGTAATGGGAGCAGAGACTGGCAGGGAGGCAGCCTTCCTCAGCAGGGCTCACCCGGATCACCTTCTACTGCATACCAGACCTACATCCACAAACACGTAATCTGTCTCTCCAGACTGCAGCTCCTCAGAACACCTCTCATGGACCCTCATGCATACTTGGCTCTGACAAGAAGATGCCACTGTGGAAGAGACCAGCAGTCCTGAAAATGGGCTTAGGTGAATTTTGTGAGGATATGAACTGTTGTGGCCACAAAAGAAGTGATGATTTGACTCTCCTCTTAGGGGACATGTGCAGTCTACTCTGCTCCTCTGGTCCAGGACAGGACTCTAGTGGCTGAGAACGCTGTGCTGAGATGAGGTGCAGGATTGCCGCACACTCTGCTTTGTTCCCTCTGCTTATGCCCGGAGCTCCACTTCCAGATATAAGCAGAGCAAGCAGCCATATGCTCAGCTATAGCCAGCACCAACCGCTGGACATAGGGGATTCTCTTAAGAGGAATCCAGTCTGGCCATCAAGGTACCTCTAGCTTTGAGGAGCCCAGGCAATGCCGTGTAAACTGAGAAATTGTTCCTGTTGTAAGATGCATAAAATGGAAGACTAGTCAGTCTCCTAGGGTCACTTAGCTTCAGGCAGCTAGATATGCAGCAACAGAAAACCAGAGAAGGGAGTGGAAAAGAAATCACAGTATGATATCCATAAGGGAATACTGCTTAACCACAGAAATGAATGATCTTCAAGGCCTTTGCTTAGTGGAAGTAGCTGAAGACAGCACAGACTGCATGTTTCTGCTAGAGCAACTGCGAACAGTCCAAGGTGAGGAAGAGACACAGTACATGTCTTGTATGTGTGATTATGCATTACCAAGGGGGCTTATTTGTCAAAGGAACACAGGTAACACTGGTACCTGCCAAGGCATGTGACCGTTAATTACTGTCCGGTCACTCAACACCAGAGAAACAGCAGACAACATAACTTAAAGGCACAGGACTAGAGTGAGCACAACTGAGAACAAGCAGTGGCTCACGGTCCTGGTCATGGAGGGGAGGGACCACCTGCGTGAGCACAGTGTTCATCACGGAAGCCCTTCTTCACACCCTACAGAGACTTTCTGGGGTGCAGTCTGGCTGCCTCTTTCATCAGTATTGCAGTTTAAACTCAGGGGCTCCCGTAAGTCCTGGCAAGTTCTCTACAATGAGGAACACCCTTGGTGTCTTCAATTATTTTACAGTTCTAGTAACAGAGAGTTGGACATATACTATGACATTTTCCGACTGAGCTTCATCCCAAAACATGTTTTTAATGCTGTCTTTGTAACAGGTATCAGTTAAGCTATATGCTTCAGGTATGTAACAAATCCCATTCACTCTGGCAAATGTGAAATTTGGTTAGAACCAAAAGGTTTTAACCAGTCAGTCAAAAACCAAAAGGAAAGACATTCATAATGAGGGACAGCAAAGATGTCAACATTACAGACTGAGACAGGAGACGTCTCAGCAGGGGACCTGGAGGGCAGGACACACGGGCAGCAGGCTTGTCAGAAGGCCCCAGTGCAGCATAGTCCGGCTGTGTGAAGAGGATGCACGGGAAATGAGCATCTCTCCACCAAGCAGGAAGAGGCGGAATGAAAACTCCACAGACATGTATCAGGGAGTGCCAGGGGATGAGCCCAGTGTCACAGTTCCACATTTCGTCAGCCACATTTTCAGGTCTGAAAGATTGAAACCTCCCTGAGTTCCCTGGCTTCTGTTCAACATGTCCAGAGCGTGGATATCCTTACTCATGCTTAAAAAGGAACAGCAAGCGAGGCCTGGAGGCTTAGGTAGAGATAGGCAGATTCTTGTGCCTGCTGGCCAGCCACCTTACCTGTGAGATCTGCTCCTCAACTCTTAGGGTGGCTAAGACCTAGAAAACTGCCAACATGGATAGCTTGCAGGGTGCTCAGCTACAGACACCAGGACTTCGCAGATTTCTCCAGACAATGACAGAATCACTCAACAGCACCTTTCTCAGACACACAACATGTTAAGTCATTCATGACTGTTATTTATCCCCTTTTGTGTGGCATTTAATTACTTCACATTTAGTAATTTATACTTTTATAATTCATTCTCATGCACCAGCCAAACAAATATTCCATAGTTTTACTAAGGTCTCATCATTTTAAGTTGGCAATGACTTTATTTTCAAATAAGAAACATTAAGGAATATTTGGATAGTCTTGGGAGTGAAGAATTGACTTAAATATTGTTTGGCAAGCTGGAGATGAAAGGAGTTACAAGCAACTTGCAATTAAGATGTAACCTTCCGAGTAACATGTTGTGGTGATAAATGTATCTTTTAATAGTAGAAAATGATAACTTACCACCTTTCTAGTGAGACCGCAGAAGGGCCAACTCTCTGCTGGAATTTCACCTTTTATCTATTGTAATTCTCTGGAAAGAGGAAGTCATGACTCATATGCATAGTTTCCAAGTACCAAATAACTAACAAATCAACCCCAATTGAGGCATTGTTTAGAATTTATTAACTCTGAGAACACTGATAAGCAAATCTTTGGGGTGGGAGAATTAACCAGTGGATACTAGGAAAAGATACAAAGTACTTTGCTGTCGCTGAGGAGCATGTTATGAATATATTTATTTTGAGAAGAAATGCATTTCCATTGTGTAGAATAAATTACTCCTTACAACAAGAAAAGAGAAAAAAAAAGAAAGAAGAAAAGAAAGACAGAAAGAAAGAAAGAAAGAAAGAAAGAAAAAAAAAAAAAAGGAAACCAGACCAAGTAGGTACTGGTTGGTGCTCCACTACCTCAAAAAGCCAAAGAAAAAGAAAAGGTTGGTCAGCTGATGGAACTCAGGATTCAGAGACAATCAATCAGAAATAAGGTGATGTAGCAACCTCAGTAACCTCAGTTGCTGTCAGACTAAAGCACCAAATGCTTAAGTATTTGTTAAACTGGTTGTTATCCTGGAAACAAAAAAGACACGGTAAAGTAATATGAAAAGAACCTGAACTCGGGGGCTTTGGCAGACAGTATACTGTATACTGCTGCCTTTAGAAAGGGCTTGTTCACAGGTATCCACGGGAGTGAGGACAGCCGCGGCCAAGGGAAGACAAAGCTGGGTGATGGGATCCACGCCACATTCCAGCTAAGGGGCTCAGCTTGTCCAAACAACTTACTCCTTTCTTGATTTATATGAACTTTCAAGGAATCATTTTAAAATGTTTGCCTGGAGTCTTCTTCAGTGGTCAGATGACTCCCAGTGAAAAAACTATGATCTAAATATTTTGACAAAAGTATTTGATAACCTATATGATTCTTTTCAAACCCAATCTTGGGGACATCCAGACCTACTTGATATTTGTATAGGGAAATGACATTAGCTCATGCTGTGTAACAGCCATGTTGACACTTCGTTGCCAGCGAGAATTAGGGATGAATTTTATGTATCATCATCAAAGAAGATGGATGTTTTTCCATTCCACGTGAGTGCTAAAATTGGAACACTTTTTTTTTTTTTACAAAAACGTGAAGAAAAATAACGTTTAATGCACACAAAAATTTATTCTCTGGAAAATTGAACTGCCATTAAAATATCCGTGGACTGGTGTAATTTCAACATTTTTACACACAGATCAGCAATTTCTTTATGTAATACAATTATACAAAAGGGAAAAGGCACCGTGACAGTCGGTGTAGAGAGCACAAAGGAAGGTGAGAGAGTTAAAGGCAACGACACACAGCGCCACTCCAGCAACACGAAGGGGTTCAGTCGTCCACGCTACAGAGGATGGCTCACACTTGTCAGCGTCTAGTTTTGATCAAGGGCATATAAACACGTGACAACAGCACAGCACTGCTGATGACCACATGGACATACTATGTACACGAGAAGGTCCACTCATGGGGGAGAGTCGCTAGCAAACAGGTTAGAGAGTTGAGACACAGGAATCACCAATAGGCAGCACATTTCTTCGGTTGGTTGAGACAACTCTGCTCACAGAGCAGTTAAATGTTACCATTCGGTTACACTTATTATTAGAAAAATAAGTAAGAAAGCTCCGTAGAAACTAGACTATAAGGAAGCTTCTTGCCTCAAAAACTGAAAGAAAGGAAGAGAGGATGGGGAAGAGAGTAAGGAAAGGGGATACTGAATAAAAAGACCCACTGATTCTGAGTTTTTCTGTAAAAATTACATTAGTTTGAGAAGCAAAGTCCCAGTGCAGAGGTACCAAGCAGTGATGAACCTCTTAAGTTTTAGAAAAAGACTAGGTCCAACACTTAACAGATTCTTAAAATTCATAGCTCAAGCACTGAGAGACAGTTCTGATACACCACCGTATGTCGGAAGTCAGGATCAAGTCCAGCCAAGTTGCTGGGACGTGGCAGTCGCTGCCAGCTGAGGCCAAGGCTGTCCCTTCTCTGTCAGCTTGAAGGTGCCTCGGGATTGCGGTTCTGTTTCATCAGAAAGTTATTGAAACAAAACTATATAGACAGATAATAAGTGAATTTTTAAAATATGTTATTTCCATACCTTTTCTCATGGTAAACTCAAATTACTTGTGAGTCCCGCCACACATTTCCAGCTGTGCTTGAAATAATCCCAACACTTGAGGACAGCGTCAGTACACTTGTCAAAGCTGTCCTGGTTTCCTCTCAGCCAGGAAATGACAGTGCATCACAGGACATAGTAATATCCCTAGTTATTTATCCTACAAAACTGCCAGAAAGACACCATCACCTCTAAAAAGGCCTTTCTTTAACTTTATGGTATTAGCTTTAGTTTTGCATTTTTGGAAATCATTTTCTTAAAGCAACATGAGAGAGATTAGGAGAGAGTGAGACACAATGGCCTCAGATTTTTCATTCCCGAGAAGCTGCCCTCCTCACAATGACTCAGAAACTACAGACCTTACCACTGCTGCACTAAGACTTTATCTATGGGTACGAAACTGCTGCCAACAACTGCAGATAAGAAACAAAGTGTTATGTCCCAGACTGCTCGGGTAGAACTTCCTGGGGAGCTCATTCAGACCTAGACTCTCGGGCTTTTCCTTTACACCTCTGAACAGAATCTCTGGACAGAACCTAGAGAGAATTCTTAGGTACATTACAAACTGGGGGTCACTTCTGTGCGTTCTAGGGTTCTTGGTGGGAGTCCACCTCCTATGTTTTCTCATTGTCTAGTACTAGTGTCAAACTGGGGGTTCACTTTCCTACTCAATGCCAGCCCCAGCACATGTCTTTCTCTAACCTCGTATCTTATGGGAAGACATCATTCAATGCCAGTCTCAATACCTTAGCACACAGGATCGTCAGGGAGGACTGTCCATCCAACTTGTAGCCCCCACAACAGTGCACGGCACACAGCGGGGATGCTCATACATATACATTAAAGGGAGAAAGAGAACTCAGTCAGTGAACAAGATTCACGAACAGTAGTGCCGACTCTACCAAAGAGATTTCATTCATCAGTACTTGCTGTGTGCAGTTACTAACAATGGAGGGAAGGAAGCTAGGTGTGCATTCTGTGTAATATCAACAGAACATAAACGTGTGCAGAAAGGCAGCAATCTCTCCTCTGACTCCAACATGACTGTGGGTTAGCAGATAGCCTGCCATTTCACAGGGTAGGAAAGTATATGCAGATAATGAAAATAACTTGGTCAAGAAGAACAACTGAATTAATATATTGTCAGAATACAAGTACAGTGTAGACACAGCAAACAAATCTCAAGTCCTTAAAAATAAAAATCACCCCCAAATTATGATACTTAAATACCATTTGTCCTGAGAAGGCAAGCCCCTTGGCTGTCCCGAGAAGGCAAGTCCCTCAAGCCCCTCAAGCCCCTCAAGCCCCTCAAGCTCCTCAGCTGTCTTTTTGCTCTCTACTCTCTCGGGCCTATCTCTGCCGTTCAGATAAGCTGGGCAGAAATTGCCCCAGCACAATGCTGCTTTTTTCGCCCATAATAAAGAGGGTGAAGATACAATGTGCATAAGTGGGCTTGGAGTGACCCCAGTTCTACTGTGGTTCACTTAAAGAGGGGCAACCTTAGGGGGTTCAGCTCAGGTCCCCCAGCAGCAGCTTCTTCACAGAGAAAACACTAGTGATGCTACTTGCCTCTTAATATGTTGTGAGAATCAAATAAAACAACCAATTATTGTCTCAGTTCTTGACTAAGTTATAGCCGTAACATTGTCAGCGCTGTAGCGTGTTTGAAGGGCTTCACTGCATGCCCCACCTTGTCTCAGCATCAGACTGCCGGTGACAAAGACACGGATGGTCACTGTCCAGTGGCAGATGAGGAGGAAGAAATGGATTATAAAGAGAGTAAGAGAAAGAAACTTAGGAATAACAACCAGGAATGTAAATTTTTCTATGAATTCTCCAGTCTATGGACATAAATATTTCTGCTAATGAACCTTGTGTCTTTTCTATTGATAGCTGAACAAGGATTTTGAAAAAACTGGTTGGTGACCACTGGTCTTCTACCAAGTACACTTTAAACAACTCTCCTGTTTCTTAACACCCTAGAAAGCTATGATAGCATTTGCATTCCTCATTGTCAAGGACAGCCTAGACTGTTTCTGCTTGTCTAGTGATGTGGTCAGACTCCCAGGCACTGATCACGCTCCTAGCCCAGGAGGAAGCGGTGATGTAACACAGAGCTGTGTTTTGCACAGAGCAGATCTGACCCCAGCCAACACTCAACTTCACAGTAGCACAGTCATCCAGGCAGTTTAAGTATTTTTTTCTTTTTCTTACAACATGGTCTAAGAAGTAACTTTTAGTCAACACAGTACTGAGAGCTCATCGACATGCAGTGAGGTAATATGCAGCTGTGATTTCAATCCAAGGTGGTTGGTACTCAGGCTCCACAATTACAGAAGCTTGCTTCTGAGGTCAGACAGTACTGCGCTCCTGGACAGCAGCCCACAGCCACACTGAGGAAGCTAAGACTACCCCATATTCCAGTCAGCTGTGGAGTCTGGATATTTCATTTGCTTTTAGCAAGACAGTAAGAGTATAGACTGTCATTTTCAAGATTCTGAGTCAACATCTGTGACTCAGATAATTTGGGAAAGGATGCATATTTGTGTATCTGTGGCAGAATGGCAGCATTTGGCTCTAAACCTAATATCACATTTAGAAATTTTACAGAGGAGAAACAGCAGAGAAATGCCTTCCTGTCGGGTTATGTGGAAAGGCGGTTCGCACCCTTCGCCTTTGCTTGTGCGCAGCACACTGTGCTGTGTGTGCAGTTACAGGCACACCCAATTTATAATCATTGAGGACTTGGAAAATGGACAGAGGGTGGGAGGTCTGTTCCTGAAGTTAGAGAAGACTGAAATCACTTTCCAGGCCGTACATGAAGGGACACCTACACCAGACACCCCTGAGGATCTTTGGGAGTACATACAGTTCTGGGCAGTCTCCAGAAAGGAGGCTGAACAAGTAACAGGTTTTCCTCTCCACACAGTGAAAGCACCAAGCTGGTCTTATGATGTCCAACTGAACCTCGTCACAAACAAGACCAATGACTTTGTTAGGAAGACAGCAGTTGTTAGTCACGCGGGTGACTGTTTCAAAGCAGGTAAAAGCTCACTTAGCATCAAATGCCTGCACCCAATTTTCAGAGTAACCTATAGCCTTCTTCACATTTTGCCTTACTATGTTCTTCAATAACACTTAAAAAATAACAAAAGAAAGAAAGAAAGAACACTCCCTCTCCCCAAACCAGTCCTGGAATGCTCACTAGTCGAGTGGTAGAAGGACCTTTTCTTTTTATTTTGGTGGTGAACCTGGCCTTCAGTGGCTGAGCCATATCCACAGCCCTAATGCTGTCTTTTTAATGCTACTTTTTTTTTTAAAACATACCTTTTTTTTTTTTTTGAAAGTTCTCACTCTGTAGTCCAGGATGGTTTGGCTAGTGTCAAACTCACAGCAATCCTCCTGCCTCAGCCTCCCAAGTACTAGCATTACAGGGATAAGCCACTTTGCTGGGCTCTGAAATTTCTGCCTTTTAACTAACTTCATGCTTCCTGTCTGTATCTTTTCCTCTTAAGATGCTGTGTCTGAAAGCACAGAGATGCCTTCTTTTCAGCTAACATGTAGGTGCTCAAAGCCTTCCGGGTGTGTTTCCGGGTGTGTGTAGTAGCCTTTCAGAACTACTACATCCTTAGCAGTCAGTGTGCGGCTCTGCTAGTCTGGATTCAGTGAATTCTAGCTCACAGTAACAGTACAGAGTGCTCAGCTGGGATCGGAACCGCGACACAACTTTTCATTAGTTGGCAAATAACACATTTTTGTCAGGTTGATCGAGGAATGTGAAAGAGCAGAAGGAAAACCATTTCACGGACACAACATGCTCTAGTAAAGCATAAACATACCATTTCTGTCAGGTAAGAAGGAAAACTAAAGGAAAATAGCTTCTGTTATATCCAATTGGTCTATGATTTCTAAATATGAAGACAAGACCAGAAAGTGCTCAACCATGAGGAGGCCAGCAAGCACGCTGCCTCCCACGCTGCAGAGCGCGGCATTGGCATGGCAGCCGAGGGCTTCACTCCTGTGAGTGCTGAAGGCCAAGTTTGCAAATACGGCTTCCCAGCTGTGTAAGCAAGGTCAACTTGCATGAAAGGCACAGGGTGACATCACGCTGAAGACGTCACAAAACACAGCACAAGTCACTAGAACACAGGGATCTCAGAATGCTCCTAACTGTATTAAAGCTGAGAACCACAAAGAAATCGGAGTGAATAAGGACCCCAGGAGCCTGTTCCGATGCTGCCTGCAGGCTCAACACTAGGAACAGATAGTCAAAACTCCTTTAACTAGAATGCCTTCCATTTGCAACAATTACCCACCATGCCTGCCACATCACACAGCTGCGAAAACTGATCATAAAAGCGATTCCAAATGAGAGTTTGCTCTACCATTTTCTACATTGGGACATAGAGTACACAAAGGACTCGACCATAAAGTTATGAAGTTTCTGCAGTACAGTCAGAAAAGTTTGCAAGGGACCAATGGGGTATAGTCTCTTTGGAATAAAAAACAAACAAACAAACAAATAAATAAATAGATAAATAAATAAATAAATAGAAGCAAAGACAAACTTCAAAGAAACCAAGCTTAAACTTTGCTTCGGGGAATTTTGCACTTGGGTTTAGTACTATAAGAAAGACTGAGGCACAGAGAGAACACATCTGAGATGAAACTATCATCAGCGTGAACGAGCCTGGAGATGTGACCGTGATCGCTGAGCTTCATCCAAGGACTGGCCGGCATAACTCTTTATGGGTAGTATGTGGACGATGATATGCAGTGCTACAATGGAAATTTTGGTTTTTTACCACAATCACCACAAAATTCCTAGCTTTTTCACTAAATAAAATAAAATTCAAATCAAAAGCATGTACTTCAATTTCTGGAGGACTGCTGGACACTGACAAGTTTCTTGGTTTCTCACAGAGCTCTACCAGAGACAAAGCCCCGTTCCCTCAGCTCAGCACTGATGGTCCTTCCCAAAGAGTGGAGCATTGCGGCAGGGTGTGGACGCGGACTCTTCAGGGAGCAGCTCCTTGCTCAGGACTCCAGCAGGGCATGCCACCTGCACACTTGCTGTCCCTTGGACTCCTTCATTGCAGTCCAGTGTCTGAGTTCCTCCTCCCCAGAGCTGTTGAGACCTAAGGAAATCCAGCCTATCATCTCCTTTCTTTTCATGCTGCGCTTGTTATACACAGACAGTATCAGAGTCACATCAGAAAGTTGAAACAAGGCCACTTGAAAAACAAAAGTTTCCTTGTACACCGGGTTTGGCTGCCCTCTGCGGGTGGATGTCTTGCACTTGGACATCTCTTGGCCCATGGAATTCAGCAGTGTTAATTTAACATATGTATCTGAAGGAAGAAAACCAACACACCACAAATATCATTTGAGACAAACTGACAGTTTTCTAATGATAAAAGCCAAGATGAGGTAGTCAGTCTTTATAAGGATATGGTGTATACCATGTTGGATGGAAACTGAACTAACTCAGCTTTGATGCAGATGCTTATTAAATATGGGACAAGTATATAGAATGCTAAGTTGGCTGAAAGTCTTGGATAGTAGCAATGACTTAGCCTCACTGTTTCTAGGAATGGAATTTAAAGGTATACCTCATAATCCTTCCTTCCCCCTCCCACCCCTCATCAGCCTCCCCAGCCTCCCCTGCCCATCACCACCCTATTTCACTCCACTAAGCGGAACATCATAGCATCAATAGACACTTAGCAAGCTCAGTTAGCCACGACACTACAGCATTCCACTGTTCTCAGAGAAGAGAGTCAACAAACAGAGATGGAGGCAGATGGAGAGGAGGAGGAGGAAGACAAGAACGCAAAGGTGACACTGAAACAGCTTAAGATGAAATGTCAAAAGAATCTCTGCATGGATGTGGTTTTAAAATATACATTGAAAATATTCAAGGGTCCAAATGAAGCCAAATGTCTTAAAGGGAATCAATGTTTAGCAAACCAAGTAAAACTTTCTTTCAGTTTCATGCAAGAGTACATTTAATGTGCTTTTTGGGGGGTTGGTGGGGGATAGTTAAATACTATTGGGTTTCTTTCAGGCATAATTTAATGTAAAATTTTAAGAATGATATTTTAATTATTTTCATCAATTGCAAAGACACTGGCATGATGTTTAGTGTACAGAGTGAAATGTAACACTTCAAGGCCTTTTTACACGGGAGATAGATTCTCTTTAAAGACTTTCCAAGTCTGTTAGACTCATGCAAATGGTCTCAGCATGTTGATCCATCATGTGTACTTTATAACACAATTAAAGATAATTGCAATGGTCTCATGAGATATCTGTTTCTATCATAAATCAAACTACAAAGAAATAAAAAATAACTTATCTTAAAAGGTTTTGCTCATTTGTTGATATTCTGAATACCATCATCCATAATCAGAGATAAAGTCTACGTTAGTTTATTTAAAATACCACAGATAAAATGTGCATTGTTTTGGAAACCAACATGGTGGACAGTTTCACTGCTGGCAAGTTTTAGGGCATTTTGTTTTGCATGAAAAGACAACATCCAATTAGCCTCTACAGGAACTCACCTCGGATTATATAAACCTGTCCACCTATCAAGTGTTTTAGACAACAGAACAGTCCATCTGACAACAGGGGGTGGAAAGCAGTAAAAGAAATAATGACCAGATGTCAATTGTTGGGTGAAAGAGGGTCAAAGTTCAGAATTAAAGAGGAAACACTGTGCACTTGAGTGGAAAACACAAAACTTTAGCATTTTAATTCAAGTAGAGGGTTGAACAAAGGGCTGTTTTATAAATTTCAAGGAATGAAAAAAATTTAACATCATTGTGTAATCCTAAACAAAAATTACACTGTTTTAAGAGGGGGACATATTTATAATGGTATCTTCTTGGTCTAAAGCACATTGAACATATAGAATCATGCAAACTATCAGGCTCTAAAAGATTGGATACAATCATTATAGGATCACTACTATTGTGCTACATTTTAATTTTACCCATGCAACATTTAGTATTTCAAATAGTCTGATTACTCCCAATATAATCAAGAACTCAGTTATGCAAAATGAAATGCGACTATCAGAATACGTGCTTGTGAGTGCTGCTCCTGTTTCTTGGGGGGAGTCTGAGGTTACCCGGCTTACAGCAGTTCAGACCCCGAGTATCAGTGAAGGGCTCTAATCTACGGTTTAGGACATGCTGACACAATTGTCTTCAGTTTTGCTCAGCAGCTATCTGGCATGTCTTTTACAAATGCTTTACCCTCATATCACTATTTCAAAAGCTGGCTTCACTTATTTACTAGTGACTTCCTAGCTAAAGACACTGACCAACCGGAGGCTGAGGATCTGATTCTAAAGTATTGGCAACTTCTCTCACCCCTCTGCCCCAAGGACAGACTCCATGCAGGCACACAGCAGTCTTAACGTGCTTCCTATCCACCCCTGCATCTGCTCCCTTCATTCTGACTCCCTGTGCTGCTTCTAGGCCACACTATCATTTCATTTTGCTACTTCTGACATGTCCAGTTAAGAATTTGTCAACGTTTATTGAACAGCCATCTTAAGTGGGAGGCACAGACTGACGTGCATCTTTGTCTCGTGGTGCAGTGTTACACGGTCATTGGGTGTGTGTCTTGTGTTCAGATAAGCACATGCGGTTGTCATGACCTCACAAGCTCACATGTGTTCAAGCTCTCTCCAGCCCCTTGTGGAGAGAGTCTCAGTGTGTTTGCATGGAAACAATCAAGTCGCACTCCCTAGCCTGCTTGGTCTCAGAATGTCCTTTCACTCACTCGGTTTCCTTTGAGATGAGAGAGTGGATGGTACTAATGCACTTTTATGTACCTTCGTCAGATCTGATTCTCACAATTACCCTGTAAAAGATAGAAACTTAACTTTACCTATTAAGAAACAGCCCTGCAGGGTCAGGCCATTTGTCTATGGAGGTTATAATTTTTCTCTTTAGCTATCTCTTTTAAAATTTTGAATTATTATTCTGTGTGTGTGTGAGTGTTTACCTACATGCTTGTCTGTGCACCATGTGTGTATCTGGTGCCTGCAGAGGCCATAAGAGTGGACTGGATCCCTTGGAACTAGAGCGCTGGACGGTTGGGAACTACCATGTGGGTGCTGGGATTAAACTGAGTTCTCTGGAAGAACAGCCAGGGCTCTTCACTGCCGAGCCATCTCTTTAGCCTTGCCCTCCAGGCTTCTCAATTTAGGAATAGATGTATTCTGTGACGCATGTCCCAACACTTCTTGGCATAAACCTATTATCTTTTAATGATGCTTCACCTGCATTGAACAATGGATTTTTATGGCATTTAAAAGCAAAATTAATGTAAAGGATAGAAAAAGCTCCCCCTCCGCCTGTACCCTGATTAACAGTGTATTAAGGAAGTCTCTTAGAAATCTGTAAACAAATTTAAGCTGTTAATCACTCGCAATTTCTATTCAGAGTTTCAGTCAGGGCATGAACAGGTTTAATCTATAGAAATTTAGAGGGGCTGTTTTGTGCACATTTAGATCTGGCTCACAGACATCAACAGTAGAGCGGGGTGGGACAATTTCTCCAGCTCCCACGCCTACTGTCATCTTCAGAGGAGAGGACAGGGACAGTCAGAGCAGACAAATGCCCCTCACTCCCACTCAGTCTTGATCTCATTTGTACTGGGAAGAAAAGGCAGCTGGTTGTGTAGGGCGATGATTTTGTTTTTTACTTTTGTGTGGTGCTGTGCTAAAACCTAGGCCTGCACATGCTAAGCACATGCTGCCCACTCAACTACATCCGTAACACCTATGAATTCACAGAAGAAAATTCGAGAAAATATTTTCTTCATGAGGTGTTAAGGGTAAAGGAAGGGAAATACAGAAGTAGATACATTAGTTCAGAATACTGCACACGGACAGGAAATACGACACTAATCTCTAACTAACAGAAGCTGCATATATTTCTTTCATTGTGAATAGTAGTCACTTTTTCAAGTCCTGTAGCTTCTTCTGGCATTAAAAGATAATGGCTATAGTAGGGATAATTTATTCTGCAGACTATGAAAACTTAAAATTTCTGTTCCCATACAATTAATATTTTGAATTTCACATTTTCTACTTCCCAAATGACTGGAAATAGAAAACATGAAACAGATTGGCTGATGATTCAGTGTTTCATTGTGATTGGTTAAGACTAAAATGATGCCAGGCCCCTAAGTGCAGAAAGCATTAAGTAAACATAATTGGTTTTCACTCACTGGGTGGTCTGTTTGCTGCCAGGTTTTTGAAGTGGCTGCCTTTGATGACTTCTGCTGATAGCCGTCCCGTGGTGGCATTGTAAAGGAGCCCAATGAGGATCTCTGGAACGGAGCCATGTTCAAGGGACTGACAGGAGGATGTACTTTCACCACAGGACACTTCTGACAAGCTCACCTGGGAGTCACAGCCCTGGAGAGCAAATGTGAAATTGTTACAGTATTTTACAAAACACAGATCATAAAGTGTACCGTTGGCTGGCTGTGGTGGACAGCACGCAGGATGCAGAGGCGGGCGGCTCTCTTTTGTCTAGACGATGAGCTGCAGGCCAGCCAGAGCTATGGTGAGACCCTGTCTCAAACACCACCACCATCAACTACAACAATAGAAATAAAATGGCAGTGCTGTGTGTATTGAAATTACATCACGAAAAAGACAAGGGTGGGGAACACACACCATACTCCCAAACACTCAATTAGAAATAGTCTGTAGACATTTCAGTCAAGTAATAGATGATATTCCTGCAATAAACTCTATTTATTTTAATTGTTCATTCATTCATTCATTCCCGTGTGCCTGTGCCCGTGCCCACACAAATGCATGTGGTCAGTATGTTCTGAAAGTCACAGGGCAGCCAGCAGGGCTGGTCTCTCCTTCCACTGTGTGCCCATGGATTGAACTCAGGTCGTCAAGCTGTCAGCATAGAAGCCTTTACCCACTGAGCCATCTCAACAATTCAACAATTTCTTCAACGTATGCATGGTAATGAGAGTTATCAACCTTAAAACATGGGTGTGAATTTAGATTTATTTACAGTAAACATCTCAACTATATTCTTAAAGACAAAGATTGGCATGTGTTGATAAATAAACAAAATTATCTGCCATTCTTATGCCAATATCTAAAATAGAGAGGCAGAAAAGTAAAAAAATAGTAAAATTTACTATGCACACATAACCATAAGAAAACTGATGTTGCTGCATGTTTCCTTGAAAACTAGACCATCATCAGAGGTGAAGAAGTGCACTTAGTGAAGACTACGTGTTTAGTTTTTAGGAAAACAGAAAAATTCCAAATTTGTAAGCATTTTGTAAAGTGAGTTAAAGACAGGAAGCAAAGACCCTCTAACATTAAGGAGAAACACGCACCAGTGGCACAGCAGCCTCTCTTTCAGTGCCTGGCCCTGTGGGCAGGGGAGGATGCAGAAAGGATGTGGGAGATGGGCACATCACAGACAGTGAGGTCAGACTGTGGACCTCGCACAGCACGCCCAACAGCAGAGCAGAAGCCTTTCTTTATAGCAATAAAGCAAGCAGTGATAAAATGCATGTGAGGAACAATTTCATGGTATGCTATTTTTGTTTGTTTGTTTGCTTGCTTTTCAAGACAGGGCTGATCTTTGTAACAGCCCTGACTGTCCTGGAACTCACTCTAAAGATCAGGCTGTCCTCGAACTCATAGAGATCCCCCTGTCTCTGCCTTCTGAGTGCTGGGATTAAAGTCATATATCACCAGCCCCCAGCTCATAGTATGCTTTTCGATCAAATAGAAATAATAAAGTATTTTCTAGAAGAACAAAAGACCTATGATATATTTGAATACATTTCTAAGTAATTCTTGAGAAAGCAAATGGTATTGAGAATGAGATAATTAACTGATAGAAAGGATCAACAGAAATGGATAAATTTCTGGATGGTTCAACGAGAGAAGAGAGTGGGCGCACTGCATATTCTGCAGATCGTGAGTACATGAGAGGGCTGCACAAACAGCTCCCAACTAATCTGAAATTTGGATGGAATGGACACATCTTAGAGAATAACAGCTAACAGAAGGCACACTAGAAGAGACAGAATATCCCAACCGAACTTGTAACCAAAAACTTTTAAAAAATACACAGAACAAGACATTTTAGCTGTGACAGCTTCCCTTGTGAATTAAAACTGATAACATTCCTCTTTCCCAAACACATTCAGACAGTGAAGAAGAACAGCCCTTAGCTGCCCATGTACTGAGAATCTAACAACCCCTTAGAAAGAAGGCTTAGGATAGACTTAAAAAGAGTAAGAATCACAGGAGTTGCTCATTTGTGAACTTCAACTTAAAATTCCTAAATCCACCATTAGCAGACCAAACCTATCAACCTGCAGTTTAAAAATTTGCACTGGTGGGAGCAGGCTGAGCGTTAGCACACACAGGCTCTACAGCCACTCTGCAGCACACGGAAACCGGGTGTGGCAGCACGCACCTGTGGAGGCAGGAAGATCAGAAAAGGTCAGGGCTATGCTTGGCTACGCAGTGAATTCCAGGCCAACGAGAGATCTGGTCTCAAAAAACCCTGTCTCAAAAAACAAAAACAAAAACAAAAACAACAACAACAACAAAAAAAACAAAAAACCCTGTAGCTCATTTCCCCTTTGACACTGTCACCACCATGATGGACCTTCACAGCCAGAGAAGGTCCTAGTCTTAATAAACAACAATAAAATAATTGAAGTCATCACAATTTAGAAGAGGAGTGGGGAAGACTGCCCACCAGACAATCAAATACAAAGAAAATTTGAACAAATTCACAGACAAACTGCAGTCGCACAAAAAGTAAAATTTGAAAATATTCACATTGTAAATATATCAGCAACCCACCTGAAAATGAAAGTAGCGTTGATAGAATCGGACACGGTGGCTCATGCCTGCACTCCAGCACTGCGGAGGAGGCTGAACCAGGTGGACTGCAAACTCCAGACTAGCCCAGTGTACACAGAGAGTTCTGTGCTAGCCAAAGCTACATTGTGAAATCTTGTCTCAAACAACAAACAAAAAATACAAGCAACGCATTTGTCACAGCATAAAACATAAAATATCTAGCATATAATAAATGACACGCTAGCTTGCAAGGTATCTGCAGAAAACATGAGCATTGCTGAGAATGAAAAGTGCTCTACCAGGTAAGCTCAGCAAATGTGTGAGAGTCGTTTAACAACATTCTTCCCTTATCATCTACAGAGTAAATACAATTCCATTAAAAATCTCAACAGACTTCACATTTTCTTGGCTTCATTAGCAATCAGGGAAATGGAAGTTCAAATTCTGGGGTGACAATAAACAGAGGGTGTGGTGATATTTTGTTTGTACTCTAACAAATAATGCTTGCCTGAAGATCAGAGGAAGGGGTAGCCATTAGCTAACCATAGAGGTCTGGAGGTCTGTGCAGACAGACAGGAAGTGATATGGCTGGGCGAAGAGAGGAAGTCATAAGCCTAGGTGGAGAGAAGAGTGAGTTCTGTCGCTCTTTGGGGGCTGGGAGTCGTAGAGGTAAGGTCTCCAGGGGCTGCTCTGCCTTTCTGATCCTTCAGCTGTCATCCTCTAACGTCTGTCTCCGGGTTTTTATATTAATACCAGTTAGCACTCGTCAACAATCGGCACCTAACCTTTTGGCACGAATTCACGAAAAGACCACTTGCCTGGGGCTTTGCAGACACTGGTATGTGCGAGAATTCCCGCTAGAGACACTGCCCCGCCAGCTAGGTTTTCTTTTCTTTTTTTTTCCCCAAGCCTCTGATCGAGTTTGGGATTTTCCTGTTGTAGCTTCTCTAAAACAGTCTCCAGCTGCCACCCCAAACTCCAGAGGCACCTGGGCTTCTAATGTCACAGAGCTTACCTGGTCTAGACCGGCTGGCTCTGCCTTCAGACAGCTCCTGCCACAAGCACTCAGCTCAGTGCTACAGGCTAGCAGCTGTCCTCAGGCTGACTGTGCACCGCCTGTGTTCTCCACACAGACGTGCTATGCGGTGGCAGTCACATGCTCCAACATCGGCAGATTTGGCGAGACAATTGGGAAGTCTTAAAAGGGGGGAATTAGTTAAAAAGTTTTTTTCCCCACATTAAAAAATGGGAAACACAATTTTGATGGAGAGAACTAGGTCTCTGTACGATTATGCAATACATGATATAAAATTGGAATAATTAAATCAATTAAATGAAGGGATAATCAACTTAACTGGGATTGACATGTTAATTATCCAAAAGTCAGAATTATGAGCTATTCTCATGATATTAATGGATTTTATGGAACCTCTCAACAAAGTTACCTATTTTGCAATAGGCAGAAAGAGTTGATTTGAATGTTGAAACCACTGAATTGATATCATATAATATAGAACTGATTTTATTATTTATTCAGTTACAAGAAATAATCAGGAAGAGGAATCATCCCATATATATAACACACATAGGATCCCATATGGGTCTGCCAGGCCATCTAGCACAAGGTAATGAAGAATTGATCAACTATTGATTGTAGGTGTGCTGAAGGCCTCAGAATTTCATTAAAAACATCATGTCAATAGCAAAAGTTTAAAAAAAGACTTTTCCATCATGTGGCAACAAACCAAGGAAATTATAAGGAAATGTCCTACTTGTTCTTTATACAACCAAACACTACTACCTGCAGGAAGTAACCCAAAGGTTACTCAAAGGAATGAAATCTGGCAGATGGATGTGTTCCAATTTGTAGAATTTGGAAAACTAAAATATGTACACCATACCATCGATACCTATTTAGGTTTTCAATGGGCAACTGCTTTGAATTCAGAAAAGGCTGATTCGGTAATCACACATTTGCTAGAAGTTATGGCTATCCAGGATATACCTGTACAAATAAAGACAGACAATGGTCTAGCATGTCTCTAATAAAATAAAACAGGTTTTTGCTTTTTACAATATAAAGCATATTACAGGCATATGACATAATCCTACATGACAAGCAGTTGTAGAAAGCTCAAATTGAACTCTAAAGGATAAACTAAACAGAAAGGGATAATAAAGACCATCAAGGAATAGATTGCACAATGCCTTATTAACTTTGAGTTTTCCAAATGCTAACGAGACAGGAACAACAGTTGCAGAGAGACATTGGATAGTAGGAAAAAACTAAAGAATTAAATCAGCTGATATACTTCAAAGATGTATTGAACTCAGAATGGAAACCAGGACATGTGTTATGTTGGAGAAGAGGTTTTGCTTTTGTTTCCAAAGAAGAAGAAAAGCTATGGATACCATCAAAATTTATAAAGATTTGATTTGAATGAGAGACCTCTTAACTGAAGAGGTGATAGTTCATGAAGCAGCATGCCCATTTGATCTAAATTCACCTATAAAACTGACAAATGCTTCTCATTTGATCAGATAAAACTCGC